GTAATCGCTTTGCAGGAAACAAGTTCAGAATGACGGACATGAGGCAGCTGAGTGATGGCAAACTCATCATTCGTGGTGAAAAGGTTCCATCAGAACGCTGAAGGCGTTGGATTTTTTGTACACCCATCTGTTGTCCATCTTGTCGATTCGCATGAGATCCTAACACCTCGCCTTGCTATCCTTCGACTCCGTCTTCTGCATCAGAAAACCATTATCATCATCTGCTATTCTCCAACATCAGCAGCTGATGATTCGGAACTTGGTGCTTTTTATGAGGGTTGGGAGGAAGTCATCCGCCAAGAAAACTCCTATAAGTTCGTCGTGTATGACTTCAATGCGAAAATCGGGATGCCAGAATAAGGGGAGCACAGGATTGGGAGATTTGGATCGGGGCTCCGGAATGAGAATTAACCATCTTATTGGGCTCTCATCTGCCGTACGACTTTCTCATTGCAACTCTATCTTCATGAAGAAAGAACCGGCGATGGACATGAGAGTTTCCCAACGGTATAACTTACAACCATCCTGTAGTGGCTCAGATGACCGCCTTCTTCGAGCAAAAGTGCGATTCAGCTGAAAGCTAGAAAAGAAGATCTGCCACCATGTTGAAGAAAGGAGAGACGTCGTATATGATGGCGTCAGATCGGGGAAGCTCCTGACCACTTGTGACTGGCGCATCGAGGAGGACCCGACAAAAGACTACAACCTGCCTCCTAGAGGACTGAGAGACTTTGGTGAAAGTGCCTCAATGTCTCGCACAAGGAACATGGTACGAATTAAGCCACAAAGATTCTGCTTGAGAGGAGAAGAGAGACTGGATCCGATTGCATCACATATCGAGCGACTGGTACCTCATACCAATTGCAGAACAGCTTCGCAAGAAGGTCTTCGAAAGTATAGGCAATCAAAACTTTTGGAAGCAGCGAAGTACAGCAAGGACCTACTCGACTATCGTGTTCCGCTGACAACATTCCTAAACGAAGACGGGTTGTGCATCTTCCCTTCCAAAAGATAAAATCGATCACAAAGAGATTCTACACCGATCTCTTTTGCTCGTGTCAAACCCCGATTCCCACTGGAGAAGTACCACCAAGGATTCTATTTGCTGAAGTACGCGCCGCAATGACTATAAAGGCAGCCACGACTCCGGGACCGGACCACGTTTCGACCGACCTCTTACGAACTGGAGGACATTGCCTACATGAGAAACGTACATCTACCGTCCTACCTTCAAAGGGATATGATTTTCGACCAGTGGAAAACCTCCCGAAATCCTTCTTCATAAAAGGGTGATAGGGAAGATCTTCAAAACTACCGTCTGATACGCCTACTGAGCGTGCTTTACAAGCTCTTTACGAAGATTATTCTCGCTCGCATATCAAGACACTGAATGAATTCTGACCTGTATATCAAGCTGGATTTCGCCAGGGATTCAGCTGCTTGGATCACATCCAGACAGTTTCGAGGATTATCGAGGTTTGCCTAGAGTACCGCCTACCTCTCGTACTAACCTTCGTTGACTATAAGGAAGTATTTGAGGAGACTAATGCCATGCTGTCAGCGCTCTTCGACCAAGGGGTTACCCATGTTACGTGAGGACATTGGCCGACTGCTACAGACTGCTCTACAACTTTACAGCTTTCCATCGTCCCCTTAACATACCAATCTCGAAAGGGGTTCGAGGAGGGGACACCGTGTCGCAAAAGCTGATTATCGCCGGGTTGCAGTGGGTGAAATCACTGG